GCCCTTGTGCGTACCACTATAGTAAATGCCCAACAGCCCAGATCAAATCTAGGCCGATTTGACGGTCATGGTTGTTTGAGAGTGTTTGAATTTTAATTTTTTTTTTTATAAATCGGAATGAACCGAAACTTGGGCCGTATGTACATCTTAGTGATTTGCACCTAATAAAAATATAAAAAATATAATTCGTAAAAATAAATTGATTAAAATACTCCTAAAACGTTTCTAGGGTATTTTGGTCAATTTATTTAATGTAAAATATTCTTTTATATTTTTTGTAGATTCGCCTATTGTTTATGAATACAAGCTCCAAATTTCATATTATTCCCATTTTTAGAAACAAAATGAAAGATAAAATATTATCATACATCCGTGATCGTCAGATCGGCTCAGATTCGAGCTTGGCCGTTTGGAATTTACTGTAGCGGTACACAAATTGGCATACCGTAGCATCTTCCTATATATATATTATTTAATGCCCTTCTACCTTTGAGTTATGCTTAAGAGATTGTAGGCATAGACGACACTTGACTCTGTATTAGAACAAATGTCTTTTACCAATAAATATCCATGGAACTCAAAGGAATGGTATCCGAGCCAAGGTTTGAATTAATTAGTTATTTGAACTACAATCAAGCTTAATAAGGCAAGTCCAGATTGACAAAGTCGCAATGGGCTGTAGTCTTGTAAGACCCAACAGAGGCAAGGTAGGGCAATGTTCCTATTGACTAGTCAAGATACGCTATTAAGAAGGATTGTAGGTTTGATGGCTATTTTTTGAGATCATTGTCTCGAACCTCTACTGGCAGTAGTAATAATATATATGCAAAATGTAAAAAAACAATTACAAAACTGAAATATACCCAAAGTACATTCTTATGATGTTTATCATAAGGGTTCCTTTGAGTTCAGGAGTGACTATGTAGTAAAAAAAACTATTCCAGTTAATGAATATCGAAACAGAGTCGAACTCCTTTCTAAATCAATTATAGAAGAGCATAAAAAGAAAAGATATAACTATTTGCACATAGGCCTAATCTAGGAAGCTATAAAACCACTTATTAGAATATGGTTAAATAACTATGTATTATTATGCTTAAGAGATTGTTGGCATAGGAGGTTTACATACTCCTTATTATGAATAGTTGAATCAAGTTTAAGTGACGGACTTATTTTTTTTAATTATTTCCCAAATTTTTCAGTACCATTATCAGATAAAAACATACTTAAAGTATTAACCTTAAACTTTAAAACTCAAGGTTTTGATATGGACTTAGGTTTCCAAAACTTGGCATTGGTTTATAGAACTTGCTATAAATCCATGACCACTTTATGTCCTGATGTGAAAATAATTGATGAAAAAGGACAAACAGTCTTTTTTCAAACCAATTTAGAAAAATCAAATTTAATGGTTCCCAAGACTATCTCTTGAAAGGAGATAAGATTACCTGAGAGGTGGAACTTACAGATGGAGGTTCAGCCTAGGTCTCTTGAAAATAAGGAGGTTGAACAGATTATTGAGCATTCTAATGGGGAAATTGAAATTCCATTTGCCCCTACTAGAGGATTAGGATAAATGTGTCTAATATACCACCAAGGATCCCAACAAGAACCTCATACTCATCTGTTCCACAAACTAAATATGAGAGAGATCATGAAAGGATCATATTAGAAGGGCTCAGGATTGTATCTGAGCAAGTCCAGAGACTTTTTTACATGGTTGAAACCCCAGGATCCTTTAAACAACGAGAAGAACCTAAAAATCCTACCATCCCTACATTTTTAGATATGGAATTGAGTATGAATGTCCTTCAGAAGGAAGAAGAGTTCAAAATTGATAAAAAAAAATTTTTATTATTATAAAAGATTTTAATTCTGATCAAAACAGAGAAGTTAGAGAACGGTTCAAAGAAAATTTTAATCAGAGACTCAGGATAAAAATCCATGAGAAATATTACAAGTTTATGAAGGAGAAAGGGCTAAATATTAGCTTCTTTAAATGGTTAGAGAACTTTTGTTAAGAACAGGGTATATCAATTCCCAAGGAAATGTGGTCGAAAACACATTTCAAACATTTACAACTAAAGATGGAAAGACAATTCAATCGATCCACCCACTTGAGGCACCATTGGAAGTATAAGGAATAAAAGCTTCCCTTTATAAATTTGAACCCAAAAAGATGGATATGACCGCTACTATTGAAAGTATAAACAATGTAATAGAACAAAACAATTATACAAATCTATACTTAACAACTTTAGGAAAGCAAGCCCCTAGGATTGAAAACCTAGTGGACAGGAAAGAAAAAAGAAAAGAAATCGGAACAAATCCTAAACCTAAAGGGCCTGTTATGTTTAAACTACCCTCTAAAATTCCTAAAGATACCTTCAAATTGCATATGGCACAAAGTGACTTCTTGGATGAACTCACAAAAAGATTGTCAAAATTAGACATCATCAGGGATACACTTTCTAATGGACCTGAGACGTCAGGAAAAATGCAAGTTAATACCCTCCAAGATAATACTGCAAATTACTCGGAAGAAGAAATATTAATATTAGAATAGGTTTTTAGTTAAGCAAAAGATGTAAACAGAATCTCTTATGAGACTAAAACTTTTCTAACTGCCCCCACTACGATATATTATCCCTGACCTACTCCACTTGACCTTCAGTTTGAAGAAGAAGCTATAGGAGGTATAGAATACAATGGGAGATCTATAGTGGAGTGGAATGTAGATGGGATGTCCGAATACCAAATCATAAATTTAATGAAGCATATGACTATATATGCAACAGCCTAAAAAATAATGGCAATAGAGATATTGATATTGCCAAAGCAATAGTTTGCGGTTTCACACACCACTTCAGAGGTTGGTGGGACTTTGTCCTAAATGAACAAGCTAGAAACCATATCTTAAATGCTAAAAAGCAATGGATTGTCTTTACAGAAGTAAGCCCAAGGGTTAAACAAGAAAACCTGATAGGTGAAGAAGATGATGTATACACTTTGTTGTATACCATTGCTTTATATTTTTTAGGAAGCACTGCCCTACAACTAGAGAGGTCAAAAGGCCAATTATTAAAACTTAGATGTCCAACCCTATCCTATTATAAATGGTATAAAGATGTATTCTGGTAAAAATTGTTAACTAGAGAAGATGCAGGTTCTAATTATTGGAAGGAATAGTTCATATCAGAACTTCCTACCCTATTTGCAGAAAAGGTTAGAGTTAGATTTAAAAATAAGCATGACGGAATAATACCCTATGATCAGTATATTTTGGGAAAACTATTTGCAGAAATTTGTGCAGAAGGTTTTGCTCTATGCATAAACCTCAAGCTTAAAAGGCAGCTTTAAAAATATAGGGTAATGGGAAGAAAAGGACTAAGGGATTTTTGTGAACAATTCGGTTATGATACAACCAATTACCCTTATAGTTACCCTTATAAAGAAAAAAATAAAGGAAAAACAAAGGTAAATACTTCAAGAAATATTTTAAAAGTAAAACAAGTAGACCCTTCAAGAAAAATAAAAAATATAAATTTCTTAAAGAAGAAAATAAAAAGAAAATTCCAATATGTTATAATTGATAAAAATTAGGTCACTATAATAATAAGTGTCGCGTAAAAAAGAAAATTAATTCTTTAGAAATAGATGAAGACATTATTTATGAAAAAATTTATTAGAAAACGAATGTTTTGAAGACGGGTCATCTGAATCTGATAATGATGATCCAATGATTAGGACAATCAAAGATGAAAATTTGGTAATCTCAAGCTCAGAAAGTGATTCCTCTCAATCAGAAGGAGAGGATGACAGTGAAAACTGTAAATGCAACTTTTATAAATCAATTCTTAATATAAATGAGTTAGGCATAAATGTCCTGTCCAAATGAGAGAATCTTTTCCTTGAGCTTATAGACTGGATTGAAGATTAGCAAGCTAGGAAAGGAGTTTTGTACCAATATATTAAAATGGTCAGAGGTTAAGAAAAAACCCCCCCAGAATGGACTAGTGAACACACTAAGGTAGTGAGGAAAATAAAGTTAAAAACTAAAGAATTACCATGCCTGACAATATCACACTTGAGGCCTTTAAAATTGTAGAAATATATGCTTCTGAGATAGGCTTAGGAGGAATTTTTCAGCAAGAGCTTCTAGGGAAAAAAGATGAACAATTGGTAAGATATACTTCTGTTGTTTGAAAACCAGCCCAACAAAAATACTCCATAGTAAGAAAGGAGGTTTTGGCCTTAGTACATTGTGTAACTAAATTTGAAAGTGATTTAATAAACCAATCTTTCCTCATAAGGACAGATTCTAAAGCAGCTGAAGAGATCATTGAAAAGGATGTTAAAAACCTAACATCCAAACAATTTTTGCCAGATGGCAAGCTATCCTATTCTTGTTTAATTTTGAAATTAAGCATATTAGTGGAGATAAAAATGCATTGCCTGACTTGTTAACTCGAGATTTTTTGCAGGTACAGCAGGAAGTAGAAAAACTTGGCCTTAATCCAAAGCCCAAGTAGAGCGATAGCTAAAGGAGCTTCATCGTCTTCCTTATAAATAGATTATGTTAAAATACCACAACATGAAAATCCTAGTTTATTTAAGATAGAGTTGAAAAGACAACTCCCTATGGTCTTTAAAGATATGAACGTGGACAATATGTCCACATCAGAAAAAGCAAAGGGAGAAGAGGATATGATGAATCAAAACAAAAATGACTGCTATCGGGTCCTATCCCCATTATCCAGCTAAAAGCTAGCCAACATGAATCTACTTTAATAGAGAAAAAGGGACGGATTGACTCCCCACTATTCAGGACATGTATCTCGACAAAAGATAATGGCTACAGAAAAAAGGCTACAGTGACTCAATCACCACTACCTTTATTTCACTATTAAAGATTCTTCAATAATTGACTAGACTTAAGACACGCTGAAGTCCACTAGCCCAATAATGGACCGGACTTAAGACATCTTGAAGTCTGCTAGCCTAGTCTATATAAGGGCTTTCCTTAAGTCAAGAGGGCATCGGTTGTTTGAGAGTTTGTCCTAGCTTCAGAGTGTTTTTCAAAGAGTGTCTTCAAGTTTCTAGTATTTCTTCTGAATCTCTTTGTCAATTTTTTACTTAGTGTGTGATCAGTCCATCTGGTGGCATGTCAAGTTCTCCTACTTTCTCTCTTTTAGTTTGTCTCCCACTATGTAAGTGTCCTTCGAAGTATTTTCATAATATTTGTATGAATTGATCCTATGTGTTGTTACTATTGATGGTTTATTTTTGTTGGATTGATTTATAATATATTGGTTTATCGTTGTTAGTTTGATTTATAATACGTTTGTATGTTAATAGGGTGGCGTGTCAAGTTCTCTTACTTTCTCTCTTTCAATTCATCTATCACTATGTAAGTGTCCTTTGATGTATTTTCATAAGATTTGTATGAATTGATCATGTGTGTTGTTACTATTGGTGGTCTATCTTTCTTGGTTTGATTTATAAGACGTTGGTTTATCTTTGCTGGTTTGATTTATAATACGTTTGTGTGTTAATGGTATCAAGGTTTTGAATTAATTAGTTATTTGAATTGCAATCAAGCACAATAAAGCAAGTCCAAATTGACAAAGTCGCAGTGGCCTATAATCATGTAAGACCCACCAGAGGCAAGGTAGGGCAATGTTCCTATTGACTAGTCAAGATACACTATTAAGAAGGATGGATTGTAGGTTTGATGGCTAGTTTTTTTAGATCATTGTTTCGAACCTCTACTAGCAGTAGTAATAATATATTGTGTGTTAATAATAGTGAAGAAATAATTTTGTATGTATACAT